TTGGAAGTCTCCCTATTCAGCAAGGAGACTCCCTAAGATTAGGACTCTTGTAATCTCCTATTTAAGGAGACACCATTATTGAATGAGGATATCGAATATTCAGTTAAGAAAGAGAGTAAAGGAGAGTTRGGTGATCTCTTGAACAAAGGGAGGAACAAGGGAAAACAGAGGGTTTTCCCCGTGGACCGACCCGTGACGAGATCCTATTCCCGGGCCCATAACATTTTTTCTCCTGGCCATTGTGTTTTGCAGGATCTGGTTTCAAAAAGGACGATTGGGAGTGGTCGTGAGGTGAATGGAATCTACTTTCTGGATGCGCTTCCCAATCATCAAAGTTATCATGTTAGCAGGGATTTTGAGTCAGAGTCTGTGGGTCAGATTATGCTTTGGCATAATCTTTTGGGACATTTGTCTTTTACTTCTTTGCGTTTCTTATTTCCAAAGTTATTTGAGTCTGCTAATTTGTCTAGCTTAGAGTGTGAAGGTTGTATGCTTGGAAAACATTGTAGACATTCATTTAAAGCCAGTAATAAAAGGTGTTCATCTGCTTTTGATGTTATTCATATTGATGTGTGGGGACCATACCATGTTCCTTCTATGGGTGGCTACCGATACTTTCTTTTATTTGTGGATGATTTTTCTCGGTATTCTTGGATTTACTTGATGAGATCCCGTGATGAGGTACCATCATTGGTTCGACAGTTTCATCAGATGGTGCTAACACAGTTTGGGGTACAAGTGAAAGTGTTCAGATCAGACAATGCAAAGGAATATTTTGAAAAGAATCTTGCTTCGTATCTATCAGAGTATGGAGTAATTCATCAGAGCAGTTCTTACAATCCACAGCAAAATGGTGCAGCAGAAAGGAAGAACAAACACGTTGTTGAGATTGAGAGGAGCATGATGATCACATCTACTGTTCCAGTTCGATTTGGGGTGATGCAGTTCTCACAACAGTCTTTCTGATTAATAGGGTGCCTTCTCATGTTCTTGGATTTGGCACCCCATTCAACCTCCTTTTTCTTGAGGGGGAGATGTTCCATATTCCTCTCAGGATTTTTGGTTGTGTTTGTTTTGCTCATGTTCTTGGTCCTCACCGCTCGAAGCTTGATCCGAAAGCAAAGAAATGTGTTTTTCTTGGGTATGCAGAAAATCAGAAAGGGTATTATTGCTATGACCCAGTCTCTGGGAGTCAGTATGTTACTATGGATGTCACCTTTTTTGAGTCCACATCTTTTTTCCCGAAGGGTTCTTCTCAGGGGGGAGTGTTTTGGGGAAGGAAGTGAGCAGTCTATTCCTCTTCCGGTTTCAGTCCTTGTGTCCACTCTTGTGTTTGACCGTCCTATGTCTAATCTACCTATATCACCTACCTTACCACCTCCCTTGTGTCCAGTTTCTCAGTGTTACTCACGGCAGTGCCTATGACTTCACAGGGAGGTTGATTCCACTACAGAAGAACCCACATCACATCCTATCGGTTCCTCAGAGACTCCAAATTCGGTTGACACTGACTCAGGTATTCCTCTTGATCCCTCTAGTGTTTCAGTTCCTATTGATTCCACTAACCCCATTACACTCAGATGACCTGGACCTTTCTATTGCACTCAGAAAAGGGAAGAGAAAGTGTACTACTCATTGTATCTCACAGTATCTCTCCAACAATGGACTTTCTCCTTATCGAGCCTTCCTTTTTTCCCTCGCTCTGTGTCTATACCCAAGGGAGTTAGTGAGGCTCTCTCCAAACCTGAGTGGAAGACAACTATGCAGGAAGAAATGGCAGCTTTAATTAAGAATTAGATGTGGGAGATTGTGGATCTACCAGAGGGCAAGGAGACTGTTGGGTGTAGATGGGTTTATACAGTTAAATATAAGGCAGATGGAAGTATAGAAAGGTATAAGGCTAGACCGGTTGCGAAAGAGTACACTCAAACCTATGGCATTGATTACTTAGAGACTTTTGCACCAGTTGCAAAAATGACTTCTGCTCGGTTTCTTCTCTCTCGTTGCTACATATTCTCGGCCCCTTTTCCAACTTGATGTAAAAAATGTCTTTCTT